GTATTTTAAGAAAGTTTATTATTATTATTCTCATTGTTATAGTAATAATAATAATTGTTATTATCATCAATTATTATTAATGTTTTAATGTTATTGCTATTATTATTGTTTGTTATTTTATTATTATTGTTATCAAGTTGGCATTTTGTTCATGGGATTATTATTGTTATTAAGTTAAAATTTTTTAAAAAAACAGTTTTTTATTTGTATTATTCATGAAGTTTGTACATGATATTAACCAATATTCACTAATTTTTAAAATATAAATATGCTTTATAAAACGATTTTAATAAACATAAAAAATATTTAAAATTAAACTTGGATTTTGCTTTTATCAAAATTAGATAATTTGCATGATTTATGTGTCTTTTAATAAAAAGAATTAAAATGATTTATTTAAGTCTAGTTAAAAAAAGTTTAATTTAAAAAAAAAACAAGACGTAAAATTAAGAAAACAATAAAAACAAAATTAAACAAGTTATATGAATGAAATTAATCAAAACAAGTTATAAAAATCAATAAATGTAAAAATTAGACCAAAACGAGACCAATGAATAAGTTGATCAAGAATAATCTTTAGTTGAAAAGTCATTAGCTAGCAAGGTCATTCATTCTAAGTTTAAAAGTCATTAGCTAGCAAGGTCATTCATTCTAAGTTGAAAAGTCATTAGCTAGCAAGGTCATTTATTCTAAGGTTAAATTTTTTTTTTAATTGGCGTCATTTGTTCTCTAGTTTAGATTTTCCATTATGCTTGTAGTATTGTTGTTATTATTAAAATTTATTATTTAAACTCTTTAGTTACATTTTTACTGCTGTTTGTTATTAGGAAATTTACAAAAACCTTTGCATAATAATGTTTGCATAATAAATATTTATAAAATAAGATTTTTGTTGAAGTAAATATCATTTTAAACATACTTTAAAATAAGTTAAAAACACTTTTTGGTAAACTAAATTTGCAGATAAAGTACAAAAAACAAACAAAAAAACAAACAAAAAAAAAATAAATAAAAAGTTCAAAAATGATACATTGCCATAAAATGTATCATTCATGTTTTATTTGCGTAAAACATAAAAAGGAATTCATATTTATTACAATAACACAATTTTTTTTTTTATACAAACAAATACAAAAGTTTAATTTACAAATACAAAGATTACAATTTAAAAAAAAACAAATTTTTAATTACTTACATTATTTATATAAAATTACTACATATTGAATTTTGCCACTTATATTTACTTTAGCAAGCTAAGCAAGTTATCTGAAATATTAATCTGAAAGCAAGCTGTTGATTTAAATAAGTTTTTTTACTTACTGCTAACGACATTTTAAGGCCTACTACAATTAATGCAGTTTTAAAAATCAATAAATTTATCTAAAATTAAAACATGAAAAATTAGATAATCAAAAATATGAAATTTATGTCAATATAAAATATGAAAAAAAAAGTTTAAGGGTTTTAAATAAAGTAAATAAAGTAATAACTTTCCTTAAAACATTTTTAAAACAGTCATCATTTAAAAAGTGCTGTTTATACTAGAGAGGATGAGAGAATGAGGATGTTTATAGAGAGACATGGAAATCATTTATAAAATTATGTCATAAAAGTTTAATACTAATAAACAAATTTAAATTACTTTTGCTGGAGCCTTAAATTACTTGTATCATTTGAGTTAGGGATGATTTTGAATTGATTGTTAGAGTTTGATGACATCTTTTTTTTTTTATCCAGCCTTTGATAGAATTAGCTGCTAAATTCTCAATATTATAAAAGCGCTGTATAATATTTATTTCTAGCTAACACATTCAAGTACGCTGTGTGAAGTTCTTAATTATGTTTAATTTATGGTTCAAAATTATTAATACAATTGTTGTGTTAATGATGTCAAAACATGGTCCTAAAAAATATGTCATTTTGAAATTATATATGGATAATTAAAATAGTTTTAATCATTTACCACTCAGTGTGTTTATGGTTATTAATCTAGTATTTATACAAATTGAATTTCAGTGATTACACAAAATAGGTTTTGCTTTTGATCTTGGAAAAATTGCTGAAAGGTATAAAAGAGTGATGATTTAAACCTTGTTTAAATACTTTCATATTTTATTTCATACATCTTTTATATATATATATATATATATATATATATATATATATATATATATATATATATATATATATATATATATATAATCACTGAAATTCAATTTGTATAAATACTAGATTAATAACCATAAACACACTGAGTGGTAAATGATTAAAACTATTTTAATTATCCATATATAATTTCAAAATGACATATTTTTTAGGACCATGTTTTGACATCAGGGTGTTTTAATGAAAAGCCACCTGACCTGATGTCAACAACCAATAAGCACTACATAGCTAAAATAAAAATATTTCATGGCGAGATGATTTGTGTATCCTACTTAAGGGTTTATGTGTATCTAAAGGCAAATGTGAACATTCATATAGATATATAGCATGTATTATTTCTGTCACAAACATTTTGAGTCGTTGAACAGTTATTTTAAAACTATGTAATAAAAACATGTGTACATTAAATATCAGGCCTTGCGATAAAGCGTTGGGCGATGTGAATTTTATGTCGTCCAAGAGCGATTTTGCATGTAGCTAGGGCTATTTGCGTCGAGCAAAAAAATTTTTTGTTTGAGTATATTTAAAGATATTTTTGAGCGGAATTTTAATGAAGTAATTTGCAATTATTTTAACATTTAATAAAGTATTTTAAAAACCGCACGCTGTTGATATAAAAGTTTGAATTAAAGAAAAATTAAATATGCTCATTATTTACAAGTAGAAAAAATTCAGATAAAAAAAAGTTTAAATCTTTTTAAGCTAACATTTTAATAAAATTATTCAGCAATAGCAAAGTTGTCAATAAAATTGAACAAAAATACTTTCTTTTAGTTTTAGATTTTTAACTTAAACAATTATTTTACGGGGGTTTGTTAGGTTTCCATAGATTTAAAAATATTTATTAACTGTTAGACGTATTTAAAGTATTTAAGAGTAATTTCGAGGAAATATTTTAAAAATTGGTAAGCACAAATAAAAAAAAAAAGGAATAATATTAAAACGTATTCTACTTGATATTCAATAAAAAAGTACAGCTATTAAAATTTTTGTAAAAATTACTTAAATAATAACAGTCGCTTTTTTGTTAGAAGTTACCGAAACTCAACGAAGCGTGCTCAAGAACAACTGCTGAAAAATGGAACGTCTATAGTTTTTCGAATAATTTTTAATAATAATTTTTAAGAATAATTTTTTCGCTGAAATATGTCTTTAATACCTACAAAATTTTTATTATAACATTTTCTTTTATTTTATTTTACCAAAAAAAAAATTCCTTGTAAACATTAAAAATCTACTCAAAACATTCGTTACAGTTTTTTAGCAATACGAGTGATTGTGCTTATCAACCGCTTTATGAAAATAAATAAAAATAAAAAAATAAAAAAATATTATATAAAATTGCTAGTAAAAATGTTAGCTATTGCACATTTTTTAATCGTACAATATTAAAATTTCCAGTTTATTACTCGCTGACTTTTTAAAAAGAAAAAATAATTATTTGAAAAACTTTAAATTACATATTTGATTAAAAAAAAAATCAAATATTAGCATATTTTATAATCTTTTTTAAATGTATAGTTATAATGTTTTTTATTTGTTTAGTATAGACAAAACGTGTCAAACGTCGAGAAAATAAACAAACGTTTTTACATTTTAAAAAACGAAACATTCCAAAACATTTTTAAATAATAACATTTCTACATTAACGATTTAAAGTAGTTTTGCGGTAGTTAAGTAAATTGGTGCAGTTAATGTCGATAAATATGAAAAGCAAATAAAAAGAATTTAATGACGTCAAAAATCATGTCGTGCTTATGCGTCGCTCAGTTTTTATTCATCACAAGGCCTGAAATATCAAAAGTAAATTTTATTCTTGCATGTTATTAAATGTCAAATATATTCTTATCTGGAATTTAAAGTTTGACAAAAGTTTTAATCGGTTTTTATATAAACGGAATTTTAATGCAAATAAGTTGAAGTTATTTCTAAACTGTATCAAAGTGTGTAAAAAATTCCATGCGGTTTTGGAAACAGCTTCTTAATATAAGTGGTTGAACTGAGTATATAAGAGAAAATAAAATTGGTTGAAAATAAGAGAAAATAAAAGTAGTTGAACCGAGTGGGCTTGCTAATGCCAATAATATTTTAATATTTTTTGAAGAATTGCTAACAAGTTGAGTATTAAATATAACACAGTAAAGTGCTATAGATAATAAAATATTGAATGAAATTCTTTTTTTTTTTTTTGTAAAGCGGAATATTTGGTTTTATAAATAACTATTATGTGAACTGAATTATTGGCCGAATAAATGTACATTAAAAGTAAATATTTAAAAAAAGTTTACTACTTAATGTTTATATTAATTAGTGCTTTGCTCCTAAGCAACTTTTTATTTTCACTGGACATTTTTGACAAATCTCATTCTGCTAATTTCTTTTTTTTTCTTGTTTTGCTAAGGTGTTCACTGTTCGATGCAGCTTCCTTAAAAATGTTCTTTTTCTTTTACTCTTATTTCCAATGATTATTTAAGGGTTTATGCCAATTATGTTTAATATAAGTAACAAAAAGTTTAACTATCAACCATAAAACAATTTTTTAAAGCTTTACATCAACAGGCTTTCACAGAAAGATGTGCGATTTCATGTCTTCATATGACCACGCAAAAAAAAAAATGTTTTAATGATTTGACCACGGAATATTTTTAAAATTTAAAAACGCGCTATAAAAACTTACCTAAACTTATCTGAAAAAAAATTTTTTTAAATAATAAATATTAAAGAAAGAGAAAATAAAAAAAAAAAACTTAGTTAAAGCAAAAACACAAAAAAATAAATATATATATATAACGCAACTAAAACAAAACTCATCAAATTAAAATGCTTAGTCTATT